AGTATATCATCAGCCACTCCAGCAGTAGAGGTACTGGTGTCTTGTAGATTAGAGAGAGCATTGACAATGTTCATTAGTTTTGAAGCAGATGCACTAGTTCCATTAAGAAGACGATTCAATAACTCAGTACTATTGGACTGGTATTCTCTTTCCTCAGCAAAATTTGTTCCAATGTTTAACAAAACCCTTTCTGTTAGTCTCAGAAGATTACTCAGCATTTCATTGGTGCTCTCCACAGCATCACTGGTAGAGTTAGCAAAATTAGTCACATCAGAAATGGCATTGAGCATGTATGACAGTGTTTGATGAGTAGATGTATCGGTAGTTTTAATCAGTTCATTCAACATTGCTGTATCATTCAACCTCCTCTCTATCTCTGCTAACATAATCTGAGACACTTCTTTCACAGCATACTGTGTATTAGTACTGGTATTAGCAAGATCAGTGAGGACATTATCAGTAGAGGTAACTGAAGCTGGTCCACTATCAGTACAACTGTTAGCATTTAGCTGCAGGTAGATTATAACAATGGCAGCTACCAATAGAAGAACCAGTAGCACCAGTTGTATTATCATGATAACAAACTGTATCCTTCCTCCTGTAGGTTTTTCTTGTACCTTCACTTCTCCTTGATAAGGATCAGGGAAGCCACCATCATTATCGTACTCTTGTAGCTCATAAAGCTTCCTATTATCATCTGTCTCCATGACTTAGAGAAGAATTCAAGCAAGCAATCACAAAATAGGAGAAGAGTATTTAATATCATTCATGTATTGTAGTTATTGTACACATCATCAGTAAACAGAGGCTTCATGTGACACTTATGAATAATACTATAAGATGTCACACCACAGATTTTAAAATAATTAGACAACACCGTTCTCGACCTTGTGCAGCAATACAGAACCATAATAGCATAATAACTAATCTTAAGATATAGCACAGCATAAGTAATAAAGCATTTGTTAACACAAAAAGTATATATACTAGCTATTTTACATATATCTCATAAAAGCTAAGAGGACTATCTTCACCGGTATAACCAACATTAGCACAGACCCTCAACTCAATATAGTCAGTAGTGGTAGTGCTACTATAGTCTCTGTGAAACCATGGGATACCAGGAGCATTACAACAAGGGCCTTCAGAGCTACCACAATTTTGGCCATCCCACAGTGGATCACCTGTGTAGAGACTGTTGCTTGCACCTCCATCATTACCAGACTCACAGAACCAATTGCTACCCATAAATGAACGAACTGATCCAGAATTACCACTTGCACATGGACAGTGAGTCTGAGAATACTCAGCTAAGAATGACCAGACATGTTGACGAGGAGACCCACGAGTGATACTAACACCATCAAGGTAATTCGCATTAATATTATTTACTCCATCAATACCATTAACATGACCAAATTGATATCCTGTTACTCTACCACATATCTGAGAATAACTGATACCATTAGATGGAAATGTAACAGAGCTACAGCCAGCACCAGTGTTGGTCCTACCACAAACTCTAACCCCTCCTGACTGGTAAAACCTCAACCCAGAAGGACAGTTCTGTGTAGCATCAGACATATCCAGATATGCTAGTCTTGTCCATCCTCCTCCTGAACCACACAATGTTCCCATATTACAGTATGTAGAATATGTTTCAGTAGGTCCTGCCAGTATATAATAACCTGATGGACTGTTAGGTTGTTGTTCTAGTAGATGCTTGCAAGAGGTAGGTAAAGCAGTTGAGTCATTGTGTAGCTCCAGTAGTTCTTGTGCTATTAGTAGTATATCATCAGCCACTCCAGCAGTAGAGGTACTGGTGTCTTGTAGATTAGAGAGAGTATTGACAATGTTCATTAGTTTTGAAGCAGATGCACTAGTTCCATTAAGAAGACGATTCAATAACTCCGTATTATTAAACTGGTATTCTCTTTCCTCG